AACCGAGATAGCAGTCCTGAGGCAGGTCACCCACTTCCGATGCCCTGCAGCTGGGTCTTGCCAGGAAGAAGGCTGTGGTTGCTTCTGCCAAAGGCTACTCAATTCTCACGCCCTTTGAAGTCTCAGGCTGGGTGGGTAGGAAAGGGAGGGCTGGGTTTAACTGCTTCCATCTCAAAGGCCTTATTTATGGAACTAGAAATACTGACATCCCCGAAATGCCATAATACAGCAAGCTGGGGCCAGAGGTGACAGCCAGTGATCTGTGGCTGCTGGGTCTTGTGGGCTTCCTGGGCTCCTTGTGGCAGGGACACAGCCCCTCACACCATGGGTGGCATCCACCTTTCCCATCTTGGCTCTGCCTCCTGATCAGACTGGCGGACCCTGTACTCCTCTTGGGCAGTTCTCAACCAAGAGTTGATTGTGAGAGAGACTGTCTGTAGAAGGTGAAATGCTGCATTGAGTGAGGCCGTGTGTGGGTAGGTCCTCATGTGGGTGCCATGGAGGCTGGGGCAGAGGCACCTCCCTCAGTGAGCAGCCATGCAGGACTGTGGTTTAACCAAGTCTGCTAAGCTGAAGATGAACCTCTGCCCATGCAATTGCACTTAGGTGTCGTCCAGCAGAAATACAACCCTGTGTCCACCAGAAGATGTAAGTGAACATGTCTGCAGCTCTACCACATAGTGGAAAAGTCTTGAGAGTGAAAAGATTTCATTTGCCTGCAGTAACAAGGCTGCATCTCAGCAAGAAAAGAGCATAAACTACATGATGCCATTTATATGATGTTCCAAAACAAGCAAAATTAATCTATAGCAGTGTTTTTCAACTTATTTATTTATTTTTTTTATTTTTTAGAGACAAGAGTCTCACTTTATCACCCTGGGTAGAGTGCTGTGGCGTCACAGCTCACAGCAACCTCCAACTCCTAGGCTTAGGTGTTTCTCTTGTCTCAGCCTCCTGAGTAGCTGGGACTACAGGTGTCCACCACAATGCCTGGCTATTTTTTTGTTGAAGTTCAGCCAGGGCCGGGTTTGAACCTGTCACCCTCAGTATATGGGGCCTGTGCCCTACTCACTGAGCCACAGGCACCACCTGACCTTTTTTATCTCATGGTACACTTGAACCTCTGATTATCTACAGCACACTTTATGTTAATAAAAAAAAAAAATGCTGGGTGGCGCTTGTGGCTCAAAGGAGTAGGGTGCTGGCCCCATATGCTGGAGGTGGCAGGTTCAAACCCAGCCACAGCCCCCCCCCAAAAAAAAATGTTTACTGTGCTTTAAATTTCTTTCAAAAACAATTTACTCAATGGGCTGGGTGAGTGGCTCCCAGCCCTTTGGGAGGCCAAGGCATGCGATGGATTGACTGAGCTCCGGAGTTTTGAGACCAGCCTGAGCAAGAGCAAGACCTCGTCCCTACTAAAAATAGAAAACTAGTCTGGTGTTGGGGTAGGCATTTGTAATCCCAGCTACTTGGGAGTCTGAGGCAGGAGGGTCTTTTGAACCCAGGATTTGTTTTTTTTTTTTTTTTTTTTAGACACCGCCTCAAGCTGTC